TCTACTGCACCAATCACAGTTGTCCTGCACATGCACCTAGGAGCTCTCTACTGCACCAATCACAGTTGTCCTGCACATGCACCTAGGAGCTCTCACTCTAGTACAATAATCACAATTGTCCTGCACATGCACCTAGGAGCTCTCACTCTAGTACACCAATCACAGTTGTCCTGCACATGCACCTAGGAGCTCTCACTCTAGTACACCAATCACAGTTGTCCTGCACATGCGCCTAGGAGCTCTCACTCTAGTACACCAATCACAGTTGTCCTGCACATGCACCTAGGAGCTCTACTGCACCAATCACAGTTGTCCTGCACATGCACCTAGGAGTTCTCACTCTACTGCACCAATCACAGTTGTCCTGCACATGCACCTAGAAGCTCTCATTCTACTGCACCAATCACAGTTGTCCTGCACATGCACCTAGGAGCTCTTACTCTACTGCACCAATCACAGTTGTCCTGCACATGCACCTAGGAGCTCTCTACTGCACCAATCACAGTTGTCCTGCACATGCACCTAGGAGCTCTCTAGTACACCAATCACAGCTGTCCTGCACATGCACCTAGGAGCTCTTACTCTACTGCACCAATCACAGTTGTCCTGCACATGCACCTAGGAGCTCTCTACTGCACCAATCACAGTTGTCCTGCACATGCACCTAGGAGCTCTCACTCTACTGCTCCAATCACAGTTGTCCTGCACATGCACATAGGAGCTCTCTACTGCACCAATCACAGTTGTCCTGCACATGCACCTAGGAGCTCTCTAGTACACCAATCACAGTTGTCCTGCACATGCACCTAGGAGCTCTCACTCTAGTACACCAATCACAGTTGTCCTGCACATGCACCTAGGAGCTCTCTAGTACACCAATCACAGTTGTCCTGCACATGCACCTAGGAGCTCTCACTCTAGTACACCAATCACAGTTGTCCTGCACATGCACCTAGGAGCTCTCACTGTAGTACAATCACAGTTGTCCTGCACATGCACCTAGGAGCTCTCTACTGCACCAATCACAGTTGTCCTGCACATGCACCTAGGAGCTCTCTACTGCACCAATCACAGTTGTCCTGCACATGCACCTAGGAGTTCTCACTGTAGTACAATCACAGTTGTCCTGCACATGCACCTAGGAGCTCTCTACTGCACCAATCACAGTTGTCCTGCACATGCACCTAGGAGCTCTCTACTGCACCAATCACAGTTGTCATGCACATGCACCTAGGAGCTCTCTACTGCACCAATCACAGTTGTCCTGCACATTGCACTGGAGCTCTTGTACACCAATCACAGTTGTCCTGCACATGCACCTAGGAGCTCTCACTCTAGTACTACAATCACAGTTGTCCTGCACATGCACCTAGGAGCTCTCACTAGTAAACCAATCACAGTTGTCCTGCACATGCACCTAGGAGCTCTCACTCTAGTACACCAATCACAGTTGTCCTGCACATGCACCTAGGAGCTCTCACTCTAGTACACCAATCACATTTGTCCTGCACATGCACCTAGGAGCTCTTACTCTAGTACACCAATCACAATTGTCCTGCACATGCACCTAGGAGCTCTACTGTAGTACCCAATCCAGTTGTCCTGCACATGCACCTAGGAGTCTCTACTGCACCAATCCCCAGTTGTCCTGCACATGCACTAGGAGCTCCCCACTTTTACTGCACCAATCACAGTTGTCCTGCACATGCACCTAGGAGCTCTTACTGCACCAATCACAGTTGTCCTGCACATGCACCTAGGGCTTCACTCTAGTACACCAATCAAGTTGTCCTGCACATGCACCTAGGAGCTCTCACTTAGTATACCAATCACAGTTGTCCTGCACTGCCCCTAGGGGCTCTCACTCTATTTTACACCAATCACAGTTCTGCACATGCCCCTAGGAGCTCTCTCTGCACCAATCACAGTTGTCCTGCACATGCACCTAGGAGCTCTCACTGCACCAATCACAGTTGTCCTGCACATGCACCTAGGAGCTCTCACTTAGAAACCCCAATCACAGTTGTCCTGCACATGCACATAGGAACTCTCACTCTAGTACACCAATCACAGTTGTCCTGCACATGCACCTAGGAGCTCTCACTCTATTTACACCAATCATAGTTGCCCTGCACATGCACCTGGGAAAGCTCTCACTGTAGTACACCAATCACAGTTGTCCTGCACATGCCCTAGGAGTTTCTCTACTCCCACAATCACAGTTGTCCTGCACATGCACCTAGGAGCTCTCACTCTAGTACACCAGTCACAGTTGTCCTGCACATGCACCTATGAGCTCTCACTCTAATACTACAATCACAGTTGTCCTGCACATGCACCTAGGAGCTCTCACTCTAGTAAACCAATCACAGTTGTCCTGCACATGCACCTAGGAGCTCTCACTCTAGTACACCAATCACAGTTGTCCTGCACATTCACCTAGGAGCTCTCACTCTAGTACACCAATCACAGTTGTCCTGCACATGCACCTAGGAGCTCTCACTCTAGTACACCAATCACAGCTGTCCTGCACATGCACCTAGGAGCTCTTACTCTACTGCACCAATCACAGTTGTTCTGCACATGCACCTAGGAGCTCTCTACTGCACCAATCACAGTTGTCCTGCACATGCACCTAGGAGCTCTCTACTGCACCAATCACAGTTGTCCTGCACATGCACCTAGGAGCTCTCACTCTACTGCACCAATCACAGTTGTCCTGCACATGCACCTATGAGCTCTCTACTGCACCAATCACAGTTGTCCTGCACATGCACCTAGGAGCTCTCACTCTAGTACACCAATCACAGTTGTCCTGCACATGCACCTAGGAGCTCTCACTCTAGTACACCAATCACAGTTGTCCTGCACATGCACCTAGGAGCTCTCACTCTAGTACTCCAATCACAGTTGTCCTGCACATGCACTTAGGAGCTCTCCCTCTAGTACAATCACAGTTGTCCTGCACATGCACCTAGGAGCTCTCACTCTAGTACACCAATCACAGTTGTCCTGCACATGCACCTAGGAGCTCTTACTCTACTGCACCAATCACAGTTGTCCTGCACATGCACCTAGGAGCTCTCTACTGCACCAATCACAGTTGTCCTGCACATGCACCTAGGAGCTCTCACTGTAGTACACCAATCACAGTTGTCCTGCACATGCACCTAGGAGCTCTCCCTCTAGTACAATCACAGTTGTCCTGCACATGCACCTAGGAGCTCTCACTGTAGTACACCAATCACAGTTGTCCTGCACATGCACCTAGGAGCTCTCTACTGCAATCACAGTTGTCCTGCACATTCACCTAGGAGCTCTCTACTGCACCAATCACAGTTGTCCTGCACATGCACCTAGGAGCTCTCTAGTACACCAATCACAGTTGTCCTGCACATGCACCTAGGATCTCTCACTCTAGTACTCCAATCACGGGTTGCCCTGCACATGCCCCTTGGAGCTCTCACTCTAGTACACCAATCACAGTTGTCCTGCACGTGCACCTAGGAGCTCTCACTCTAGTACACCAATCACAGTTGTCCTGCACATGCACCTAGGAGCTCTTACTCTACTGCACCAATCACAGTTGTCCTGCACATGCACCTAGGAGCTCTCTACTGCACCAATCACACTTGTCTGCACATGCACCTAGGAGCTCTCACTCTAGTACACCAATCACAGTTGTCCTGCACATGCACCTGGGAAAGCTCTTACTTTACTGCACCAATCACAGTTGTCCTGCACATGCACCTAGGAGCTCTCTACTGCACCAATCACAGTTGTCCTGCACATGCACCTAGGAGCTCTCACTCTACTGCACCAATCACAGTCAGGCGCCGGCTATAACAAAATGGACCAGCATTTAGTATATAGCGAAATATTACAAATATTTCTTTCAATGTGGTGAGCGAGAATGATATGAGGACCAATCAACGTTGAGGAAGGATGCATGAGGACGTTATTGGTCGAGGGCAGCGCCCTGATGTAAACAATGCTGGTGCCAAGATTTCTCGAAAAAAAGTATACCCCCAATTTCTTTAGTAAGTTGGAGTTAGTGAGACAAATTTTTTACTCTGGCACTGAGCTAGGCATCACTGGCACTGAACTAGATAACATATATATTAATGCCTCACACCACAACTACTACGCGCTGTTCTCCACCAACTCCACAATTACTTAGAATTTTAGCTAGTTTGGCAAAGTCTTTTACACAGTTTTCCTATACTGCAAATACATAGTAGCCTTATATTGGTGCGTTCGGCTTACAACAGGAAGGATGCGGGTCGAAGTCTGGGCGGGAAGAGACGTATGGCCAAGTCTCCTAACACCTGCTGTCCCTGTTACCTAGCAGTAAATAGATTTCTGGGAGTTAGCCAACTGTTGGGTGTTGCATCCTGGCGGACCTAACAAGGCCCCATAGTTGGAAAAACCACCCCACTTGGCTTTATTGAATTATCCTGGCTTATTAACTCTTCAGGTTTACTGACTCGATTAGAGCTTTCTTTTTCTTCTTCTTCTTGTTCTGCAACTAGTGTTTGCATGTTACTGCACCTTCAGGCTAGTTGTGCTGATGTTCGTGCCCCCATTCACGTTTTGAACCCCACATGACACGTGAATTCAACAAATTCAGTGATATAAACATGAAAAATTGATGCGGTGTATAACTCCTCGTTGTCACCGTCTTCAATAGCAAACATTAACTTGAGAGTTGTTCTGGTGTATACAGTAAATGTGTTGTAAATAAGATGATAGAGACAAGAGAGCATATAACTCTTGCCTATCAGGCGCAGAACTTGGGAGCGAGGGGAGGGGGGAGGGGAAGACGGGGGAAGGGAGGGAAAGATGTGTCGAGGGAACGAGGAAAGGGAAGGAGAGGGAGAAAGTAAAAAGGAAACTGGAAAGAGAGAGGTGAGATGCATATAAAGGAGTGTGAGAGAGTGAAGTGTCTCCAACACTACTGTTGTTGAAAATAGTATAAAATACTGACAAACTAAGTAAGACACATGTGCAGCAGTTGGGTAACTTTATTGTTGAAACGCTACGACTACGTAGTAGGCTTCTCCAGCCAAAGAGGCAGCAGGTGTAGTGAAATGAAGATGATGTGATCAAACCTTTGAGAGGTTGAGTGCCACTGTTCCATCATACTTTGAGTGTACAGTGGAAAGCTGTTAAATGCTTCACACACTGGCAGCATTTCTCCCTCTCTCACGGTTATGTTAGACGCCAGATATAACTTATAAACTTTGACCTGCATTCAAGATACACTTGACTGTTCTCACGTATTTGTGGTTGCAGGGGTCGAGTCACAGCTCCTGGCTCCGGCCTCTGTTTCACACTAGGCGTAAGTGGTGTATGGTTGTTCTCTCACTCCCTTAGGAGGCTGGCTGGTGATCCCTTGGGAGGCTGGCTGGTGATCCCTTGGGAGACTGGCTGGTGATCTCTTGGGAGGCTGGCTGGTGATCCGGGAGGCTGGCTGGTGATCCCACCACTACCAGATAAGCTTTTCGAGATCTGTTTTTTCCTTTCATCTATTTTCTTTGCTAATTTTTTCTCAGTGAAGAGTGGCAGTGCGGAGTGCAGCTGCAGCTGCAGCTTGAAGTGTTGGGGTGAGTTGTAGGGGTGTGGGAGTGGTAGGGGTGTGGGAGTGGTAGTGGTTGAGGTTCCTAAACCTGTATTCCCTGGAACGCAGGAGGGAGAGATACATGATTATATACACCTGGAAAATCATAGAGGGACTAGTACCGAAATTGCACACGAAAATCAGTCACTACGAAAGCAAAAGACTTGGCAGACGATGCAACATCCCCCCATTGAAAAGCAGGGGTGTCACTAGCACGTTAAGAGACCATACAATAAGTGTCAGGGGCCCGAGACTGTTCAACTGCCTCCCAGCACACATAAGGGGGATTACCAACAGACCCCTGGCAGTCTTCAAGCTGGCACTGGACAAGCACCTAAAGTCAGTTCCTGATCAGCCGGGCTGTGGCTCGTACGTTGGTTTGCGTGCAGCCAGCAGCAACAGCTGGTGACAGGTCTGACCCACCAGGAGGCCTGGTCACGACCGGCCGCGGGGGCGTTGACCCCCGGAACTCTCCGGGTTTAAACTCCAGGTAAACTCCAGGTGTGGGAGTTGTAGGGTGTGGGAAAGTGAGTGTGGGGGTGGGGTGAGTTGTAGGGTGGGGGGGTAGATTAGAGGTATGGGATGTGTTTTTAGGTGGGGAGCAAGATGTAGAGACGTGGGAGTACTTGTATTAGTATGAGAGTAGAAACAGAAAGCAGTTTGGAGTTAAAAAACTCTTGACAGTGTATTTCAAAAATTAGTATAGGTAACCCAAGAACAAGAACAAGAAAAAAAAAAACCACAAAAACAAGAAAACCAAACCAAGAAGAACAACAAGAACAACCACAAGAAGAACAAAAAGAAAAAACCACAGGAAACAAAGAACAACCACAAGAACAACAAGAACAACCCAAGAAGAACAAACAAAAAACCCACAAGAGAACAACAAGATACAACCACAAGAAGAACAACAAGAACAACCACAAGAGAACAAAAACAACCACAAGAAAAACAGAACAACCGGGAACAAAAAGAAAACACCAAACAAGAACAACCACAAGAAAAACAGAACAACCACAGAAGAAAACAAGAACAACCACAGAAGAAAACAAGAAAACAAAAGAGAACAGGAACAACACAGAAGAACAAAAAGAAACACAAGAAGAACAACAGAACAAACAGAAGAACAACAAGAAAACCACAAGAAGAACAACAAGAAAAACCCAAGAAGAAACAGAAACCCAAGAAGAACAAAAAACCACAGAGAACAACAAGAAAACCAAGAACAACAAGAACAACCACAGAAGAAACAAAAGAAAAAACAACAAGAAGAAAGAAAACCCCAGAAGAACAACAAGAACAACCACAAAGACAGAACAACCACAAGAAGAACAAGAACAACCCAAGAGAACAAGAACAACCACAAGAAGAACAACAAGAACAACCACAAGAACAACAAGAACAACCACAAGAAGAACAGCAAGAAAAACCACAAGAACAAAACAAGAACAACCACAGAACAAGAACAACACAAGAAGAAAGAACAAACAAGAAGAAGAACAAGAACAACCAACATGAACAACAAGAAAACAACCAAAGAACAAAAGAAAACCAACAAGAAGAACAAGAACAACCACAAGAAGAACAAGAACAACCACAAGAAGAACAAGAACAACCACAAGAAGAACAAGAACAACCACAAGAAGAACAAGAACAACCACAAGAAGAACAACAAGAACAACAAGAAGAACAAGAACAACCACAAGAAGAACAACAAGAACAACCACAAGAAGAACAAGAACAACCACAAGAACAACAAGAACAACTTCACAAGAAGAACAAGGAGCTCTGTAACAAATCCACTCCAGTTTAAATAGTTTATTAACATTCCGTTTATTTAACATTGTAAAAAATACGAGAACTAAAACCCGAATTAAAAACTAAGATATAAGGAGTATTTTTATAAGCTCATTTATTTCAAGTGACAGTCATTTGTTTTCAGGTGATGAGGGTGAAGATGGCGGCGGGAGAGTGAAGAACATGATAACTGATGAGCAGGTGATGGTGTGTGTGGACGGCAGCTGCGGTCATGTTAGTACAACACTACAAGTGAGTTTGTTTGTACTTACCTGCATGTGGTTGCAGGGGTCGATCCATAGCTCCTGGCCCCGCGTCTTCGCTAGTCGCCACTGTGTGTGTGTGAGGGAGAGAGAGAACAATAGTGTGTTATTACTCTGTGAAGACTGCTTATATTCATTCATCGTTGTGTTGGTGCCTCGCTGTTATATATCTCACTGTATATACTCTGAGCGTTTAACTTAGTCTCCGTTTAACTTAGTCTCTAGTTTAGGGTTTAAAATATTGATAATGTTAGTGTGCAAGTAGAGTATAACCTTACTGGTTAAAACTGTTATAGATATGGATATAGAGTGACAGATAATAACATATAACTACCACATTACAGCTCTCACACGCAGGTTCTCACCTACCTCTCATATAAGCATCAATATCAATACTTGTAAACCATAGTCGTATTGTACTTAGTACTGCCTTCACCTTTCTACAGTTGTTAAGAAATGATTGTGAACCCCGGGTGAGCGTAGTGAGGTGCTGGCTTGTATGCTTGACGGCTCACCCGGGTGAGCGTAGTGAGGTGCTGGCTTGTATGCTTGACGGCTCACCCGGGTGAGCGTAGTGAGGTGCTGGCTTGTATGCTTTCGGCTCACCCGGGTGAGCGTAGTGAGGTGCTGGCTTGTATGCTTGACGGCTCACCCGGGTGAGCGTAGTGAGGTGCTGGCTTGTATGCTTGACGGCTCACCCGGGTGAGCGTAGTGAGGTGCTGGCTTGTATGCTTGACGGCTCATACCTAATAATAATATTTATTGCTACAAGTAAATGTACAAGGTATACAGTTCTAGCTGACATCAATGACATACTACTATATAGAAAGCCCTCTTGTTATGCAGAGTATTTCGGGTAAATTAGGTCAATTTTGTCCCCAGGATGCGACCTACACTAGTCGGGTAACACCCAGGTACCTATTTTACTGATAGGTGAACATGGACAGCGGTGTTCAAGGAAACAGTCTTATGTTTTCACCGTACCTGAGATCGACCCTGGACATCAGTGTGTGAGCTGAGTTCGCTAGCAGTCAAGCTACGGGGTCCCAGCTGGTACTTGTGTTGCACTCTCTCTCCATAATGCTTGCCATACCTCAACTTCCATTATTATTGCATTCTTTGCCCTGTACGCTTTTATTCCCTTGCACACCTTTGTGACCTGGGACTCACTCCAACACCACCTCAACAACTCTCATCCTTTCTGTCGCCTCGCGAATACTTAACATTAAATGATCTCGACATTTTGGGCCAACAAGTTTACACAGGACTCATGAGTTACTCTAATACCAGCCACCTTGGCTTGCCCGTCTACCAGAGTCAAGTCAGCAGGATAGTGTGTCGCTGTGCCCATCTATCACATATAACACTGCAGTATATACTGCCCAATGGTTGACACACACCAGTGTACAAGTGAATCCACACTCGTGTGTATAAAGTTCTCAAGCTTCTCTTTTATCATATCTTAATGACGAAAAATTTCCTCGCACGGTGTGTTCTGTATCCCACTACAGTATCTGTGTGTTCTGTATCCCACTACAGTATCTGTGTGTTCTGTATCCCACTACAGTATCTTTGTGTATTCTGTATCCCACTACAGTATCTCTGTGTTCTGTATCCCACTACAGTATCTCTGTGTTCTGTATCCCACTACAGTATCTGTGTGTTCTGTATCCCACTACAGTATCTTTGTGTATTCTGTATCCCACTACAGTATCTCTGTGTTCTGTATCCCACTACAGTATCTCTGTGTTCTGTATCCCACTACAGTATCTTTGTGTGTTCTGTATCCCACTACAGTATCTCTGTGTGTTCTGTATCCCACTACAGTATCTTTGTGTGTTCTGTATCCCACTACAGTATCTCTGTGTGTTCTGTATCCCACTACAGTATCTCTGTGTGTTCTGTATCCCACTACAGTATCTTTGTGTGTTCAGTATCCCACTACAGTATCTCTGTGTGTTCTGTATCCCACTACAGTATCTTTGTGTGTTCTGTATCCCACTACAGTATCTCTGTGTGTTCTGTATCCCACTACAGTATCTCTGTGTGTTCTGTATCCCACTACAGTATCTTTGTGTGTTCAGTATCCCACTACAGTATCTGTGTGTTCTATATCCCACTACAGTATCTCTGTCGTGTGGGGTTCGGTAGGAGATTGATGGATAAGGTAAATTCACTTGTTGGATGGTAACGCTATATTGTCAGGCTGTGGTAATGGGAGATGGAGCCCAGCCTGCCGTGTTCTGCCTTCTTCTATGCGTCGACTGAGAGCGGGGCAGCTCATCTCACTCGCTCGCTGCATCCCGTGACGTCATACAGTCACAGGCCTAAGGGATCTTCTATATAAACACATGGATGGTACTATGATACGCTATACAACACATATAAGGGGATCAGCAACTATGCTGACAGCTCGGTCATGTTACGTATGTCGTCCCAACATACACTACTATGCTATAGGCTGAACAGGCAGGTGGTTCTGGGCTGATTCTATACAATAACAAATTCATATATAACTTAGAACTAATGGATGGTATCATAATGGATGTTAACAAAATGAGTTTTACGTAATGGGTGTTAACGTAATAAGTTTTAACGTAATACATTACAAACTATAAGAAAAAATCATGGTACAATATGGGATGGAATTGATCGATCGATCTGTATTCATGCACTCTATGGATTCTGAGGGAGAATAAATATATATATATATATATACAAGGTGAAATTAACAGCAAAGGCATCTGGTGCACTCAGATCATTACTGTCAAATTCTCAGAATATGGAGGAAACGTGAACACGAAAAAAAAAAATCTGAAAAACTGATCAGTTAATAACAAACAGTTGACAATTTACTTCATCTCGGACAACTAGTTATACAGACTATGTACATTTAAACCCAACTCTGCGAGGGTGAGGTTTACATATGCAGAATGGTTATCATCTCTGGGAGGATCGAATTCCCCTCCAATAGCTAACACATGCCTTGACTGAGGGAGATCTGAATGAGTATCTACAAAAGATACTTGTGGGTTTCTCATTACTTGTCGAGTACGCAAGGAGTAACAACATTCAGGTTGAATATCTGACTGAGTATTTGAGGTAGAGGGTACAGAGTCAAGGGGATTTTCGGCATCTGTCACATTAGTCTGGGTAGCAATATCATCAACATCGCATACTAATTTCATATGATCTCAATGCGATTCTTTGTACTTACCAGTACTAATTTCTCTATCCTTATACTTATTGCCAGAGATATGTTCTACAACTCGATAAGGACCAACAAACTTTTGATCGAGCTTAGGCATTGCCTTATACTTATTGCCAGAGATATGGTCTACAACTCGATAAGGACCAACAAACTTTTGATCGAGCTTAGGCATTGCGGATGTTTTGTTGAAATTTGTCAGCATTACTCTTGAACCTACTTTAACTTTTGATGGTTTAGCACGGCTATTAGTAACTCTAGTAAATTCTGCTGTTGATTTATGAAGTGTTTCACGGATTCTTCTAAAAACACTCTGAGCTATGCTGGTACGAGTTGCAATGAAATCATCAGGGTTATAATTGGGTTTCGGAGTGGAATATAACAACTCATAGTGTAAACGCTTGTCTACACCATACAATGCATAATGTGGAGTATCACCTATGGAAGCATTGTAAGCAGAATTTATGGCACATTGAACATCTGGTATAACTTCATCCCAAGTTTCACTATTGGGGTTGATAGTGGCTCTCAAAACATCAAGTACTTTCTTATTGGTTCGTTCAGCTAACCCATTGCTGGCAGGATGATGAGGAACAATGGTGGATTTAGAGATCTTGTACAAAGTACACAAATTTTCAAGAATCTCATTACAGAATTCACCTCCATTATCTGTTACTAAGGACTTAGGGGTGGTATGCCTGCAGATAATGCGTTCTTTAAACGCTTTAGCTACTGTCTAGGCAGTCTTATCTGCAATAGGAACTAACTCACAATATCTGGTGAAATAGTCTACCATAACATACAGATGTTTGTTGCCTTGGAGGGAACATTTAAAATTGGTTAATAAATCAAGGGCAACTCTTTCCCACGGTTCGCTAGTGGTTGGGTACACTTGGATTGGATTAGGACCATTGACATTTCCTTTATGTAGCATACAAACACTACATTTCTTAATATACTCGGAAATGTCAGTTGCCATACGTGGCCAAAAGTATTTCATTCTGGCTTGTTTCACAGAATGATCCATACCAGGGTGTGCAACACCTGATGCATCGTGAACTAGCTGTAGAGCTACGTTCACTAGTGACTAAGGAATTACTAACTGGTACACTCTTCTACTTGGAGTACCCAACTCGGCTGTTCGATACAGTAATTCTTGACTCAATACAAAGTCAGTAATGGGTGCTGGTGGCTTCACAGTAAGAATAAGATCTTCCTGGAGCAGGAATTGAATCACACCAGACCACATGGGATCTGTTCTTTGGGCATTCTTTACATCCTCTGCAGTAAATGGAGGATCCACAGTAACTACACTAACGTGTCACGATAAAGCATCTGCGGCTATGTTTGACTTGCCAGGTAAATGTTCAAAAGTGGGATTGAACTCTTGGATAGTCAAGGTCCATCTGGCTAACCTTCCAGTAGGTTGTTTATTCTGGAATAAGGGTATCAGTGGTGCATGGTCTGTCAAGACATGAACAGGGTACTGGTAAATAATGTCTCGGAAGTGCTTTAAAGACCATACTATTGCTAAAGCTTCTTGCTCAGTTACTGTATAATTATGTTTAGCCTTCGTAAGAACTCCACACCGGTGCCACCATTTATCATGTGGGAGTTCGAATATGTGGATTAGGTAAAGAAATACTCACGTAGGCTGGTAGTACGTATAATTACAGATAAGGTGGGTTGCGCCCTTACAGCCGTGACCTGCCTCCTTGCTCACTCTCATATAACTGACTGACTGGCCGCCCACAGTACCCATATGTGAGAGGGTCTTTGAATAATGCCAGGTCAGCGCAATATGAGTTCAGATAGTGACTCAGGCAGAGACGGTTGGTCGTTGAGTCAACGGTACACTGGTTACTGGTAACTGGTTACTACTACTGAGAGTTATGTGCAAACAGAAAGGTGGGTTATCATCGGAGAAGGCATTTTCTACCTCATCCCCAAATTCCTCTACGTTAGAGACATGTGAAGCAACCTCAGCAGCAGGGTTGTCATTCTCAAGACTGGCTAAGGCTTCATAGGAATTTTGAACTGGGATGGTGTACTCATTATCACCTACTGTCACGACTGGAGGAGTAGACTGGGGCGCTCGGATTCCCCCGAATTGGAAGAATGAGCCTGGTTCTGGTTAGTTTGAGAACCACGACGTCTGTTTCCTCTCCTGGCTCTGCGGTTGGAACGGCCACGGAAAGATCTAGAGTACTGCAGGTTGTAGAGAGCATTGCACTCAGATGTGTCATGTCCATGTATTCTATGACAAGCACAGTAGGGAAGATCTGACTGGTACTCATCATCAGTACGACGCCTCTTAGGGTGACTATCAGGACAATTAATTGCAATATGGCCACGGTA